AAACATAAACACGCTTGCTGAAGTTCCTATTTCAAATGTTTCAGAGACCGCCAGCAGAGAGCACTATTGTATACAAAGAGAATGGTAACCTTACACCACTGATTTCGGATACATAATCATTACTTTTACCCAGGTGCTATTAGATATTTCAGGTACCTTAGTATATGTAGACATGTGCACTTCATGGAACTTAAGGTCAACTGGATTTTTGTAGTTCAAGAGAAAGAAGGAAAAGAAATGTTTCCTGTAGTTAGATAAATACGCTGCAAGAAGCGTGTGAGCAAACTCTTGCAGTGGAATGAACATGTCTTTTTGTGAGTGGGTGTGTTTGTGTGTCCATTTTTTTTTTAAACTTCCTTTCAAAACACCAGCACTCAGTATATTACAGAATGTGCCAAATGACTTTATAAGGAATGAATGCACCTCGAATTAAGGCTTCTGAATGGCACCACTTGTTTACTGTGCATGTTTAACTGGGGGGTTTAAATTAGCTGGCAATAGAGGAAGGTTGGAGGAAGATGAATTTTATCTTAACTGAAGGTGGTATCCGTATGAAGGTGATGTAAATTTAAAACACAAGTGTGTGGGGGGAAAAAATGAGTGAAAATGTCAAAATTCAGATCAAAATTTTCATACACATTTTAACATCTTATCTGTCCACCCATCTGCTTGTTAAGTTCAACGGACACATTTCTGACATCTCAATGACATCACTGAATAGTAGCATCACAATCTCACATATTCACAGTAAAATACACAAAATATGGACCAAAAACTGCTGAGTGAAGGAGATGAAGTGAAAGGAAGCAGCAGCAATCCCAAGCTTATGTCATAAATAACCAACAACACCCAAATAATCACTGGCACAAACATAAAAAATGCAGTTACCTAAATATTAGAATATTATTTCCAATACTTGAATTTAAACACTTTCACTTTATTTTTGTCCAAAGCTCAACCCTGCCAGCACAAGCATGTGTGCATTCTTTTGTAGCCAGTCATACCTGCGGGCTAAAATGTGTTTTTTGTTTTTGCAAAATTCATTGGTAAGTTTGTTGCACTCAGATCTTCACATCGTGTTCCATTTTCATTTTCTTCTATAAATATGTCTCCTTCTCAAATGTTTTTGTCCTTGATAGAGCTTTGTGCATTCAGCTCCCTGTCATCAGAGACAGTGCTCAGGCACAGCTGTGCAGATACAGCACGTAAACTAAGCTATTTTTTCTCATACATTTAAGTTAACTAGGCAAAAAACAAGGTAGTAAACTGAAAAAACAGTTAATTTGGCTTGTTTGAACATAACCTCAGCAATGGCATCAGTCAGATATGTAGCCATTAACCTGGTTTCACAAGGATGAATGAGTGACACAGATCAAACAGACTAACAGATGAGCAGATATAATTTATCATGTCATACTTTGGGTTCTATATGCCATACAAATACAAACAGGGAGGTAACTTTGCTATGGTTTAATACTATGCTGTACAGCTGTTCTGACAAAGACATCTCATTATAGTATTTTTCCCCTTCTTGTTCTAATCGACACTGTCATTGATTGTGTGATTTTTGGATAGAAATCAAGCAATAACTGATCTTTACCATTGGGGGGCAGTGTGAACAAGCTGTAAACACAGACATCCTTCAAAAGTGGCTCAAAGAGTTTCACTCAGAGTCAAAAAAGCACCAACATTATTCAACACTTGCCATTTATTTAAGTCATTTTTGCATCTGCCTTGTGTATTTTTGTTTTTTCCTCTCTGTCAGGACCGTTTGCCAACCAGTTACAACCTCTGTGTGTCTGCTTTGTGGCTTTGTGGGGTACTGATTATAGCCACTGAAGCTATATGGAGCATCTTGCATCCTTAGTTAGTGAGCTGGCATTTATTTCTGTAAAATGAGACCGTTTACTGGCTGCTTATCTGCTTTTGAGTCTAACACGTAAGCCTTTCTACCTTTCTGTAGAGGCTCTCTAGATTTTGCCAAACTAAACCTCATTATGATGCTAAAAGGGAAGTGCTCCCAGACACCTGCCCACTGTGGTCATCTACCCACTTACTGTCGCGACACACTGACTGGCAGAAGTTGAAGATCACTCAGCTACTGCTTTCATTCTTTGGGAATTTACACAAGGGGACATAAGTGAATAAGAAACTTACAAATGGAGAAATGAAGCTGAAAAGCTGAAAAACAAATAACAAAAGCATTATTCCCATTCACAGCGAGTAGGTTCTTCTCAACAGAGATTCCTGCTGTCTGTCCAGAAGCCACCAGTCCAAAACCTCTGACTGCAAGGCCATGAGAACACACTGAGAAAAACTCATTCCCAGAGGCTTCCTCTGTGAAGATTCATCCATACTAATCTCATAAGTTGTCTATCAGATGAGGTCTCCCAGAATATCTCATGGGAGTAGATGCAGCTCCAGCTTGTTTACAGATGGCCACTTCCTACGTCACAAGGTCACACTGTTTCATGTTCAGCATTCCTCGTCCTGCAAATATAATTAAACACGCCGAGGGATGGCCGAGGACAGATGGCTCCGAGCCTGCTGTTGTTTGTTCCATTTTATTTAGTGAGATTTCTCATAAGGATGCTTAATTTTTGTAAAGTGATTAGATTTTATTACAAAGCAGGAATTCTGTTTATTTTTGATTGCCAGATATTAAAAAGCTTTGTTTTTTTATTATTACTGAATTAGAGCTTTAAAAGCTTTAAAAATAAAGCTAAATGATTGCTGTGCCAACAGTCTTTAGTCATCTGATTAGCAATTTGTGAGAAAATGCTTCTTAAAAATGGTGCTCTAGTGTCAACACTGATGTCAGCATTTTAACACGCTGCTGTTTATCAGTAAGAGTGGGTGCCCCCAACCTTGGTGTGTGCAGAAGCCCCACCCACCTGCTGTTCACACCTTGTGTTTTGTGAGGGATGGCCACTTCGAAGAAAGAGAGGGTGAGGGTAGTTAAAAGGGCTTCTTTCAGATAGCAACTGATAAATAAGACTTATTTTCACAACCGTGAGCCATGCAAAGCTACTCTAGCAGAATACAAAACTATAGATGTGAAGTTTAAAATGAGCAAAGTCGCCTTGACTTAGAAGTTTGACTAAAACCATCAGTAACAGTGGTGATCACAACATGAACATCTGTAGAAAAAAAATCACAGCGATGCAATTTACTTGACTTTAACTGGCTCTAAAAGTGTCAACTTCATTACAACCCAGAAAGGAAATATAAGTGAATTTCAACCTCTGGGGACTGAAATTTTATTACAAAGCATTTGCAGTTCTGTTGAGATATTTCACTCCAAAGTGAAGCAGAGGACAAGCTAATGTTCCCATAAGTGGAGCCTTGCGGCCCGGATGGCTAATGACCAGAGAATTATGATCACAATTTAATGATTGGTGCTAAACAGGTCGTGGATCTCTCTCTCTCTTGCCCACAGCCAGCTAATAGATAATAAAGAAAGGCCTGAGCCTTCACTTGACCCTCTACTATGTCAGGAACCCAGCTGGGACCTTGCTTGTTGATATTATCTCCTCCACAGTTGTCAGCACTTCATTTAAAGTTCTCCGTCACCTCACTCAACCAGCTCCTCCGCAGGACTGCACCACCACAACAGGTCAAATTTGCCCGCATCTTATTACCTGTGAGTTTGCAAACAAACTCATCATCATGCAGATGATTTGATTTTGAGGAAGTAATTATTGTGGGCACACCAGCTACCTCCTACACAGACTGGAATTTGCGTCTCTCCGTTGGTAATGAGCACCTTTTGCAGGCTCAGGGGATAAATTGGGAATTCATAAATGCTGGTCCTGTGGTGATAACAAATAATGTAGTTTGCATGACCAGTTCTGTAAATTATGCATTTGAGCTTGAAATTTTTTTTTTCTTTCAAATGCAAAAAATTAATCTATTCCTTTACTGACATTGTGCTATTATGCTATGGGGTATGAAATAGCCAGTGCATATTTTTTTTTATCACCAATTTTAAATTAAATGTTTGATATTTATTGATTCATTCAGTCATCACATATTGCACAGACCATGCAAACAAATCATTTAAGTACGGAAGCTATTTTACAAATAGTGATACAAATGGTAAGCTCATTGAAGATAGCCTTCCCTCCAAGTAGAAAAAAGTAAATAACATAAACAAACAGATGAGCAGCAATATTTGTTCATGTAACCTAAAAAAGTGGCTTAGTGTGATCATAACCAGCCTTGTTAGCAAGCCGTGTTGCTCTTTATTGTAAAATATGCTGAATAAGAAGCATAATGATGGGAAATTACCACACAACTCAGACGTTCTGCCTGCAGGAGCACAGATACAGTGATTCAGACTGTGACAGCTCATGCGATCTCATCCCAGGCACTACTTTATTTGTAAATTGCAGAATGAAAAACGCCTCCTCACCAGAATTAGCTAATGCAGCACTATGAATTTAGGAAAAAAAAAACATCAACAACTTTTTGACCACCCCCCAAAAAAGCAACACTTTCCAGGGGCTATGTATACAGCTGGGCTGGGACCAAAGTGAGGACAGAGTGACTGAATAAATGTTTGCTGAGCTGCCTGCACGCAGTCGTTTGTACATGTCATGTTGAAGACCCCGTAAAACTCTGGGTGTGTATGCACGCTGGATTAGTCACAGATGGTGTGTGGAAAAGTCGAGATTTTTTCTGTTTATTCTGCATTATAAGCCTGCTGTGGGAAATTTCCTGGCTGTTGAAATTTTAAGATGAGCAGCACAAGTTTCAAAACTGCTGGTTACTTTGCTCTGTATGCTGAAATAAAAGAGAAAGTCAACTGAGGCACTGCTCAGTCGGAGCTCTCCCTCGTTCTTTGAGACTTCCTCAAACATGATTTCTCTCTGTGTATCACACACACACACACACACACACACACACACACACACACACCACACACTCCTCCCCTCCCTGCCTCCTCCTCCTCCACCTCTCTGTACCAACACACACTGCTGTCTTACACCGAGCGTGAGCGCCTCAGCAGCCGGGATGACTGGAGGAGCTGGGACTGCAGATACTGCGGTGCTGAGAAAGACGGCGTGAGCGCGTTTGTGTGCGTGTGCACGTGCCTGGGCGGACTCCAGCTGTAATGGTGCCCCGTGTGTGTGTGACTGTGCTGACCGCAACAGTCATCCTGTCCAACAGCGGAGACTTTCTCAGCGTGCAGATGGTGTGAGCAGTCAGGGGAAAAGTTTCTAACAGCTCGACTGAGTCTCGGCTAACTCAATCCACACTGCACACACACTCATACATTGTGCCAGTCCAGGAGGGGAGCAACAACAACAGCAGCAGCAGCTGAGCATGAGGACAACTTGAGCTTGTGTGTGAGCGGGATTTGTCTTGTAGTTGATTGATTGACCTGTCGCTGAAGAGGATACGGTGTCTGGGCATCACCACACATCCGAGCTGTGAGATTCAACAGGGCTGCTCGTTTGAAAGGTGAGTCCGTTCAGTAAATCTGTTGACTCTTTGTTATGATTATGAAAATGCTGTAAGCAAAACGGACACTTTGTTACTATTTATTTATATTTCAGTCATAACAGGCATTCTTCACCTTAGACTACAGCACAGTAAATATGGCATGTGGTTTTGCTTTGGCACATTTTTAAAGCGGCATCGCTGGGTTAATGGCTCATTAAAGTGATTTATTGTGTGAAGTAGTTACACCTGCGGTGACTGCCATGTTGAGCAACGGAAACGTCAAATGCACGACTTCTGAGCTGCTGTGAATCTGTGCATTAACGCGCAAAACTGTCTTTAAGCTGTAGTCTTTTTCCATTAGCTCCGTTATTGTCTAAAAGCTACACATGTGTGGCTGAAATATGAAATTAGGAGCATGTGTGGCAATTGTTGTTGGAAGGCCGGGAAGCATTAAACTTCAGCATTAAACTTTCGGGAAAAATTAGTAAGTGTCAGGTTTTGTTATGCCGTACAGTTAAACCAATAGAATAATCTTTAAAATGGTAAGACTGTTGCTTATGACCTCAGTTCTGAGTACTTTTGACTGTAGCACGTAGAAGTTTGTCTATCTGTGGATGGATTTGATTTATGGTAAAAACACATCTTACATGTTTGCCTGATTTCAAAGATTGATGTGGTTTTACATTATTGAGTGAAGTGTGCCAGGAGTACAGGGACAAAGGGGAGTAGGGTCTGCATTCCCATACACATTTTAAGCCCTTGTCCCACATTAGTTTTCATTTTTGTATAATTAACTTCTCATATGAAAATAACCAATTGTTATATTTCTTTTTATCCTAAATCCTATATTCTTTTCAAATATTCTGGACCAAGAACACCTTGGCATCTTGGCTGGTACGATTTGATCACAAGATAGTCAGTACTGTTTGGAAACATTTTTGAACTGGTGTGTGTGTGTGTGTGTGTGTGTGTGTGTGTGTGTGTGTGTGTGTGTGAGAGAGAGAGAGAGTGAGAGAGAATGTCACTCATTCCAGCTTACTAAAATGGAAAAAGTAGTCAACAAAGAGAGGAACGTGGTGGAGAAAAGAAAGAGTTAAAGGGATCATGGCAGAACATCGGTAAAACAGAAGTGTGAATGGAAAAGAAATACATGAGAGCAAACCAGTAGAAGGAAGGATGATGACTCCCGTGTGCCAGGAATGTCTACAGCTCACAAGCTGTGCTGCTGCAAAGCTCAGGGATCAGGTTCCCCGTGTCAGCTGCTGTGCGGGACTGTTCCCAGGTCTAGCCATGTAATGTCTGTTTACTGAAGAGGGTGTGGGGACCAGAAGGACTGAACTGCAGCAAATCTAGAGTTCAGATTGGAAGTCCTATAGCTAAAGGTGTTTTTTTGTTTGTTTGTTTTTGTTTAATTTTCTTCATGTTTTGGAAAAAAAAGATTAAATCAAGTAGACACGGCTAATCTTTATATTCAAACTGACAATTTGCTATTTTTGTTTTGTTGCCAGGCACAGCATCTTGTGTGACATTTATGGAGGTTATAATGCAGAGTCAGCATAAACTCCTTCCAGCAAACATCACTAGTGAAAATGACTGTGGTCACTGGGCGCTGTTTTCACTTTGCCCCTCTCACCTGGCAGCGTATGATCTTGCATGGCGTCCTTTTTTTCCCCATCAGGAAAATATCCTCTTCATATACTGTAGAGACAGCCAAATTAACAGTATTGTCATTCAGTTGTCACAGTGTCAAAAACGTGTGAGATGAGTCAGGGGTCAATGTGAAGTCTTCACCTTCATCTCTCCACATGGTTGCTGCTCTGTTCCCAGACATACTGTGACACATGGCATGGAGGGAAACGAGTGTGTGTGTATGTATGTGTGTGGGTGGGTGGGGGGTATGCTAATGAAATGAGTGTATCATACCACAAAGCCAGCATAGTGGAGAACGAGGGGCACACATCGTGTCTAAATTGTTGTGTAGACAAAACAGATGCTGACTCGTCACACTGATTCATAAAATAAAGCCAGTTTATTGGGAACTCCAAGAAATTCCTCTTCAAGAACTGACCCTTAGTGTTTGTGATATATTACACTGCTCACCTCGCCTCCTTGCTTCTCGTCTCGCTTCCATCCATCCATCCATCTTTCTGCATGACTCACAATGACTTGTGTGGGTAGTAAGCAATCATTGATGTTTCTTACCCTATAATGAAAGACAGCTCCTCAGATCCTGAACTCCCTGTAACCCCGTCCCACGTTAAATCACCGTAGGCCTAAATTGTGTGAGTGTTGGATGGAGCAATGGATTATTATCCTTATTTATTTTTTTCACATGTGTGCGAGTACTTCCATCTGTGACTGCTCTGAAGCCCTTCCTCTTTCACATCCTTTCCGGTGATTAGCACAGCAACAGCGCAGCAAGCAGCATGCCGTCCTCTCACCTCTGTGACTTTATAACAGAAGTCTAATAGAAACAGACTGCTCTCGAGGTAGCAGCTTTGGCAGCCGAGGGTTATATTTGTCTTTAACACATGCTGGTCACAGAGGCCCTCTGCGTTTCGAGAGAGGGGGTGAGGGTGGTTAGAGATATTTAAAGAGTTGATGGCACTGACTGGTAATGCAAGTTCATGTTTCATCTTGCGTGTTTTGTGGTCTTTTGTGCTGTTAGCACAGTTAGTACATATTCATGTGAACAAAAAAATCTAAATGTAGCTTCATGACACACAGTCTGTCAGTTCAGGGTGGAGTCGCTCACCTGTCAATCATGGTGAAGACAGAGAAAGGGAGATGAGCCATTGCTGCTTTATATTTTTGTTCTTGGACTACTGATTTACATGACCCAAGGAAAGTTGGCTCTGGTTTTACTGGCAAGCACCAGGTTCAAAGTAGGTTACAGCTGCTGAAAATGCAGAACTGAGGACTGATGACAGACTGATGGTAATGGCAGTGCTTGCTGCAATGTGCAATGACACCAATGAAGAATTTATCTCTTCTGTTTATCAGTGAATCATTAATACTTCAAGCTGGGGAATATTTACTTAGCTGAGACTGTCAGTGACCTTTTATATCATAGGTGTCAAACTCTGGCCCGCGGGCCAAATTTGGCCCGCAGCGTAATTACATTTGGCCATACCAAATTACTATTAGAGCTGGCCTACTGGTATTATACAGCTAATATATATGTTGTTTAGTATTAAGCTTTGCTTGTTCCATATTCAGTCCATAAGAAAAGATTCATTCATATATCTGGAGGAAGGTTTTTTTTCAATAAATATCAATGTTAGCCCACGATTTTGTTCCAGTTTTCAATTTTGGCCCACTTTGTATTTGAGTCTGTTTTATATGAACAAATAAGTCACAACAGGTTTTGAAAGGTTTTGAAAAATGTGATTTTCTTAGAAACCTGAGGAGCTTATTATTTCTATTATTATTTGTCTTGTCATTTAATTCATAGAAAATGTCTTTTTTTTGTGAAATGTCTATAGGTGACAGTGAAAAACAGGACCCTTGATATGTTTGTACTAGTTTATCTTTTTCTTAATACTTTGTAGTATCAATGGCAGTGGGGGAAATCTTCATCAATAGTTCAAATCTATGCACATTTTCCAAAACCTTCCGGTGGACCGGTTTGTAGTCTGTGCTGGGCCGCTTCTGGGCCCTGGGCATTATGCTTGAGACGCCTATTTTAAAAACTAAGCACATGACGAGCACAAGTACAGAAGCAGGACGAGTTCTAGATGTAGGGTTAGCTGGGTTTGGATGCTTGACTACACAGGAACTGTCCCTTATGTGTCCTGCAACAACTAAAGCTTGACTGCAAAAGTACATGGTTGGTAATTTGCCTGATATCACTGCACAGATTTCAGTGTTAGTAGATGTGCTTAAACATTAACATTTCATCCTCATGCTTTGTGGCAGCCGCAGAGTGGGAAAGTCAGTAGTTCTAACTTTGTTGAATCCAATTACCTCTCAGCAGTGCTCTGGGCTGCTGTTGTGACCAGTCACTTCCTGTGGTGGCCCATGTGGCAGAATTTTCTGCCAAGACCAAAAAGTTCAACCATTTATGCAATTATCTCTATAGTTCCAATAAGCAGAGGGTGGAATATCCTTGTTTTCTACAGCCCAAATATATCTTTTGCTAGCTCTTTTGTAGTCTTTATCTGCAAGAAAAGCAGAACTTTAATTTCCCAAAGGAAGAGCCACACAGTGCAGCAAGGCCTCAATCTTCCTTTCTTCCAAACTAGTTCAGTTCAAATAAAGACATGTCAAACAGCAGCTAAGGCTTTTTTGTGTGCTCTTAGCTTCAGTAGTTTCCCATATGGGGAACAAACAGTGTGTGTAAGCAGTGAAAACTAGCAACCTCCTGATGCTGTGAGACCAGTCCTGTGTAGACAGGAAGGTCTCTGGTGTCACATTTCAGAGACTTTACAGCCTTGGTCACCTTCCTTTCGACCTCTTAGATATCTTTATTTCATAGCGCATGGCTATACTGTTATCCAACATATGGTACATATGACATCACTTAAAACTTGGCCAGCTAATGTGTAAAAGTTGCCATAACTTTATTTATGGCTGTATATGTTGAAGCCTTAGCGGCAAGCTAAACATAGAGCCCCTTTTTGTTTTTATCACATGGTTATGTACTATGAAACAATGCTTTATTGTACCACTTGGTACCTTTCTGCCTGCTTCAGAAAATAGCTGTCATCACTTATGATACATCTGCTGCCTGTATTTTTATTATTTCATTGACAGATGTATATTTTTAAATCAACAAAGTCCATGAAGCTGATGCAACCTGGCTCAGTTTCCCATGGACAAAGACTGCCTATTAATACGTCTGTGCTCAATAAGGGACCAGCACTGATGGTGTTTTGAAAGACTTCTTCTCACTTCAACACAGAGAAATCAGTCTCTGCTTTTTTTTCTGCTTGAGTTGTGTGCTCTCAGTTCATTCATTTTTATCGGACTGCCTGAGAACCACAGATATGTTGCACCCTGCTAAGAAATTATAGTGC